TATATATATATATATATATATATATATATTTCTATCTCGATATGCAGATAGATCTATCTATATATATATAAATAAATATATATATATATATATATAGATATATAGATATATATATATATATATATATATATATATATTTACATTTTTTCTTTTTTTTTTTTTTTTTTTTTTTTTTTTTTTTTTTTTTTTTTATATATATATATATATATATTTATATATATATATATATATATATATATATATATATATATATATATATATATATATATATATATATATATATATATATATATATATATATATATATATATATATATATATATATAATGTCTCCCAGTGATGAGTGGCAGCTGGAAGGCCATCCGCATCCGCTGTGTAAAACATATGCTGGATAAGTTAGTGGTTCATTCAACTGTGGTGACCCCTGATTAATTAATAAAGGGACTAAGCCAAATAGAAAATTAATGAATTAATGAATATTTATATATATATAGTCTGTATTCTCTATATCTATATATTCTCTCTTTATAACTTATTTATTTTGACAAAATAATCTGCCATTGGGGTGAGCAGAATACTGTTATTTCAAAGCAAAGACATCTTTATTTTACTTGTCCCACTGGCAGACTATTTAGCTTGTTTTAAGCAAAAACTCACTTCATTTTGACTCATTATTCCTGAAAACAAGACAATATTGTTGCTTGTCTAGAAAACGTGTCTTGATTTAAGAATTTGTAGATATTTTGGACTAGAAACAAGACAGAAGCTCTGAGTAAGGAAGCATTTTCTGCTGTGTACCCTTAAGTAATTGTGAATTTTCCATCAGAGGCACAGATATGAGTCTGAAGGGCAGGCTGATGATCTTTCCTGCATCACACCTGCTCCAAACCCCACAGGAGACACACAGACAGCCCAAACTCCTGCCTTTACAACACAATAGCCAGAAAAAAAGGCAGAAAGCAGGGGCTCCATATTCAGCTTCACGCAGGCTTAAAAACAGGCCGATCCTGCTGAGAGACGGCAAGAGCTCAGACACAAAAACTATCAAAATACTGCAGAAGAAAAATGCTGGTTTTTAAGTACTGAAGGCTCGTTCACACCAAGCAGAATTGGGTCAGCTGGTGTTTCTGTGTGGAGTTTGCATGTTCTCCCAGTGTTGGCGTGGGTTTCCTCCGGGTGCAGATTTTTATTATTGCCAAAAACAGTGACGAAGTAACGCCTGATTGAGTCTCTGCTCAACCGACTGACTGAGATCTGGAGAAACAAAGAACTGCAAACAGCAGTCGGCTCCGGGAATAGAAACTTCATTAACTCTCCGCATAGGGAAATTGATTTTGGCCGATTACTTAGAAAGCTCTACAGACAGACTGTTATGAGTTTCCAGCCTGGCTTCCAGTCGATGGAATTAAAGTCAGAATTGTTAGCCCTTCTGAATATTTCTCCCTTAATTTCTGTTTAACGGAGAGAATTTTGTTCAACACATTTCTAAACATAATAGTTTGATAACTCATTTCTAATAACTGATTTATTTTATCTTTGCCAGGATGACGGCACATAACAGTGTATTCACAGTGTTTCCTATAATATTTTTCTTCTTTCTTTTAAAATGCTTGGAACAAAAATCGAAATATCATTAAAATATGTGAAAATAGGTTAATAATGTGTTTTTTAATTGTCTACAGAACAAATCACTGTTGACAAATAACTTGTCTAATTAACCTAGTTAAGCCTCTAAATGTCACTTAAACTGATTACTAGTATCTTGAAAAATATCTAGTCAAATATTAGTTATTAAAACTATTATGTTTAGAAATGTGTCAAAGAACATCTCCATTAAAAACATCACTTGGGAAATATTGTTTGCTTATTTAGTTCTTTCTTATCAATTGTTCAAAAGAAGAAATACTCATAAAACCACTCGAGGATTAGAAAATGTTGATTATATAGTCAACTGTGCCTTTTACATGACTTGTTCGCATGACAATTTGAAGCATCCTTACAATTTTTTCAGCAATTTAGTATTAAAGAACTCATTTATTGCAACATATTGTGATATGTATATTGCAATATGCAGTTGGGTTTATTTAAAGGAGACACCATTTATTTAATGTTTCAATATATACAGCTGAAGTCAGAATTATTAGCCCCCCTGGTTTATTTTTTTCCCCTAATTTCCGTTTAACGGAGAGCAGATTTCCTCAACACATTTCTAATCATAATAGTGTTAATAACTCATCTCTAATAACTGATTTATTTTATCTTTGTCATGATGACAGTAAATAATATTAGACTAGATATTCTTCAAGACACTTCTATACAGCTTAAAGAGACATTTAAAGGCTTCACTAGCTTAATTAGGGTAACTAGGCAGATTAGTGTAATTAGGGCAAGTTATTGTATAATGATGCTTTGTTCTGGAGACTATTAGAAAAAAAATAGCTCAAAGGGGCGAATAATTTTGTTCCTAAAATGACTTTAAAAAAAATAAAAACTGATTTTATTCTAGCCGAAATAAAACAAATAAGACTTTCTCCAGAAGAAAAAATATTATCAGACATACTGTGAACATTTCTTTGCTCTGTTAAACATCATTTGGGAAATATTTAAAAAAAATAAATAAATAAAATAAAAAATAAAAATCAAAGGGGGGCTAATAATTCTGACTTCAATTGTATATTTATTGATTGACTTACAGTTCAGGTCCTTAAATATTCAGACATTGACCCAATTATAACATTTTTGGCTCTATACACCAACAAATCTAGGGTATCTTCATTCAAATCAGGTGAACGCTGTAGGAATTACAACAGTTTGCATATGTGCCTCCTACTTGTTAAGGGTCTTAAGTAATTGGACAATTAGCTTTTAAGTGTTTCATGGCCAGGTGTGCGTCATTCCCTCATTATCTCATGTACAATGAGCGGAGAAAAGGTCCAGAGTAAAGCTGCGGTCACACTGGGCTTTTCCTCTCATAGACTTCAATTCATACGAACGCGAATACGTTAGACCGAAGCACAGTTCAAGCTTGGTGCACTGCGAAATCGCATCACTTGACTGCGTGAGACCAATCAAGGATCAAAACATGACCTCTCTGGACAGAAATTGAAAACATGGAGCAATCACTCGCTTTTTAAATGTCTAATAAGCTTGTTTAATGCCACCCGTTTTCGCAGCGCCGCACGACAGAATATCGCATGCTCAAACTCTAATGTGACCGCAGCTTAAATTTCAAGCGTGCTATTTGCATTTGAAATATGTTACAGTCAACTCTCAAGATGAGATCCAAAGAGCTGTCACTATCAGTCAAGCAAGCCATTATTGGGCTAAAAAAACACAACAAACCAAAAGAGAAATTTAGGTGTGGCCAAAACTGTTTGGAACATTCCTAAAAAGAAAGAGCGCACAAGTGAGCTCAGCAACACCAAAACACCCAGAAGACCACAGAAACGACTGAAGAATTCTCCCACAGTCAGCCAGATCAAGAACGCTCTGCAGGAGGCAGTTTTGGAAGGGAAAGAAGTGGAATGTTATGCAATGGCCAAGTCAATCACCTGATCTAAATCCAATTGAGCTGCATTTCACTTTCTGAGGACGAAACTCAAGGGAAAATGCCCCAAGAACAAGCAGGAACTGAAGACCTGGAGGCCTGGCAGAGCATCACCAGGGATGACACCCAGCGTCTGCTGATGTCTATGTGTTCTAGACTTCAGGCTGTAAAGAATTTTGCAACCAAGTATTAAAAAGTGAAAGTTTGATTTATGATTATTCTTTCCAATTACTTTTGGACCCTTAACAAGTGGGAGGCACATATGCAAACTGTTGTAAGTACTACAGTGTTCACCTGATTTGGATGTAAATACCCTCAAATTAAAGCTGATAGTCTGCAGATACAATTTTATTTTAAACCGATTGAGTTGGTGCATAGAGCCAAAAATGTTAGAATTGAGTCGATGTCCAAATATTTATGGACGTAACTGTATATACAGTTTTATTTGTGTACAGTACTGTTTACATTTCCCAAGTGCTTTTTGGAGGATCATGGAACCCTCAGTTTTTACACCTCTGATTGGAAAAATGCTAGGAAAAGGTGTTTACAGATGTGTTTAGGTGGGCGTGTCAAGTGGAGAGAAGGAGGGGTTTGCATAAAAAGGGGAGTTTCATTACATGCATAAAACAGTTCATTTGCAAATATTGCTGAAGGGGTTAATAATATTGACCTTAAAATGGCTTTAAAACAACTAAAATCTGCTTTTATTCAAGCTGAAATAAAACAAGACTTTCTCCAGAAGAGCAAATATTAGAGGAAATACAGTGAAAATGCCCCAGCTCCATTTAATACCACTAAAGATATTTTAGTAAATAAAAAAACATTTTAGGGTTTAATGACCCCTTTTTTACAACACATTTTAAAACATGACAGTTTTAATAACTCATTTGCTCCCACAACATGCACATTTTCATTATGCACATATTTCATTTTAATGCACGGCCTCAATTCTCTGAAATCTTCCAGGTTTTTCATGACTTTCTATCTGCAGTCTCTTTGCAACTGTGACGACATCTGACATTTTCCACTTGACATTTACTGTAGGCGTCTGCTGAGTGTTTATATGTTGGTTTTTACAGCGCTCTTCATGTAAACAGCAGTAAAAGCAGTGTAAAAGGCGTCTGTACCTGCAGTAACAGTGGCGGCCGGTGTGTTGGAAGACGAGGAGCTGGAAGATGCAGACATCGGACTGGACTCTTCAGACTCTCTGGGTTTCTTCAGGCCGTGTCTCATTACCACAAATGTGTCGAATCCCAGAGCAGCGTTTACTATTAACTGCAGAGAAACAATAGCAGACAAATAATGAATGCTCTCTCACTCTTAAAAAGAAAAGAAAAGGTTTACTGATGTTATTTATTTATTTATATTTTGATTCTTTATTTACTTTTTTTATTAAGTCATTTACTGTTTTACCTAATCACTAGTTTAAAGTATTTATTTACTGTTTATTTTTTTATTTACTTCCATATTTAACAATTTTTATTCACTTATTTATATTTTTGTATGTTTTTTTATTTACTTCTGTATTTATCTACTTATAATTTATTTACTTTACTTTTTTTCTTATTTATTTATTTGTTATTTATCTACTTATTTATTTTATTTAACTTAAATTTATTTTATATTTACTTACATATTGAACTAGTTCTTTATTTCATAATTTTTAAAAAAAGATTTACTTAAAACACTTGTTTATTTATTTTTATTTTTTATTTATTTACATGCTTATTCACTTATTTTTTATTTATTCACTTTTTAGTTTTTTTAATTTCTTACATATTTATTTACTTATTTGCTTTTTTTAATTTCTTACATATTTATTTACTTATTTGCTTGTTTATTTGTATTTATTTACTTGCATATCTTTTTATTCATTTACTTATTTATTTATATTTTTTTATATATGCATATTTACTTATTTATTTATTTTTTTACTTATTTACTTGATCATTTACTTATTTATTTATATATTTACTTAATCATTTACTTATTTACTTTATCACTTATTTACCTATTTATTTGTATTATTTATTTACTTATTTGTTATTTATCTACTTATTTATTTTTATTCACTTACATATTTAACTATTTCTTTATTTCATTATTTTTTTTTAAATATTTACTTAACCACTTGTTCACTTATTTTTATTTTTTATTAATTTACTTGCTTATTTACTTATTTCTTATTTATTAACTTTTTTTATTTTTTACGTTCTTATATATTTACTTATTTATTTATTTATTTACTTATTTTTATTTATTTACTTACATATTTGTTTTTTATTCATTTACTTATTCATTTGTTTATATTTTTATTTACTTACATATTTCCCTATTTATTTACTTATTTACCTAATCATTTACTTATTTATTTTTTTTATTTATTTACATATTTACTTAATCATTTACTTATTTATGTTTATTTATTTATTTACCTATTAATTTTTTATTATTCACTTATTTACATAATTACTTATTTACTTATTAAATCACTTAACTAAAACATAACTACAAAACTTGGACTTGTACTCATATCGCAGAAAAACACAGTATTACGCTGTCATATTTTTTGCAAGGTATGGTGCTGCTGTACCTTTCTCTGGCTGGCAGCGATGACGGTGGGCAGCCAGCGGCTCTCTCTGGTGTCCATCAGCAGAAAAACCACATCGTGTTCAGAAATGAGTTTTTTCAGCTGCTCCACGTCCTGCTGCGCTTGAGCTACGGTCAGATCTGAGAAGTTGACAGGGTGTCCGGGCATCGGGATGCTCATGTTGAAGCCTTCTGCATTCTGAACAACAGAAAACAACAATACATCCATACACTGTAAAACACGCAATGACAAAAAGACAGCAAATATTTTGGTCACTTTACAATAAGATTTCATCTAAAAATGTATTTACTAGCATGAATTTATTCTGAACAGTACTCAAACAGCATTATAAATAACAACCAACATTCACTAATGCATTATTAAAGTAGTTAAAATTAGCAAATGCACTGAGTTAACATGAACTAACAATCAGCAACTGTGTTTACAACTGACATGAACAAATACTGTAATACAAGTGTTGGTGATTGTTTCTTCATGTTAAACACATTCATCAATTCCCTTGGCTTAGCCCCTTTTTTCATCAGAGAACGCCACAGTGGAAAGAACCACAAACTATTTTAGGATATGTTTTACACAGTGGATGCCTTTCCAGTCGCAACCCAGTACTAGGAAACACCCATACACACTCATACACTACAGCCAGTTTAGTTCATCAATTTCCCTATAACACATGTGTTTGGACTATGCGGGAAACCGGAGCACCTGGAGGAAACCCACACCAACATGGGGAGAACATGCAAACTCCACACTGAAACGCCAGCTGGACCAGCTAGGACTCGAATCAGCGACCTTCTTGCTGTGAGGCCACAGTGCAAACCATGTGTCTCCCCAGTAAATTCATCAACTAACATTACCCAATGCACCCTTATTGTAAAGTGTTATCAATATTTTTATGTTGCAGTAACTCGTTTAAACTAGTTAATCAGGTTTTAGCTAAATTATTAAAGCTATATAAAGTTTAACTTCACAGCTTTAGTCAGTTTGATTGATGCAAGTTGAGACAATTAGAAAAAATTCATTAGATTCAGCTAAAAAAAAGTGAAGTCAGCCTGATGTTTATGAATTACGGGTCAAAGTGAGCTGGACATCATTTAAGCAACAGAAAAAAAAAAAATTCTAAATTGACCACAACATTAGAAACATATTAATGCCATCATCATCATTATTATTATTATTATTATTATTAAATATTATTATTTTCATACATTCATGAAGGCTGAACACATTTAGAAAACCCAAAATCCAAATGTAAATATCCGTGAATGGATTTCTAACAAGCAAATGATCCGTCTGTTTACAGATTTCTGCAGTTCAGAAAGTCTGAGGATGAACACTTGTGTATGATCTCATAGTTGATCCACATTTCCTGATTATATTAGCTAGGCCACATGTAAACAGCAGCGGTCCTGAAACAGAGCCCTGGAGGACTCCACAAACAAATAATGAAGTTACGCGAGTACTAAAGGTAAACAATTTCTCGTAAACTAATAGTGCCTAAAGCATCTTTGATAATGTTAGTTCATTAATCAATAACAGTAATCAATCAATTCTATGAAAGACCACATCAATTTTAAGGAAGGCAAAACTACACGTATAATACAATAACCCTCTGCTCAAAAGTGCTGCAATCCAGTGAAACAGAGTTTTTCAAGCACATTATTGTATATGCGTACATATATTTATGTGTGTGTATGTCACTGAGAGACAGAGTTGTAATTACTGCATGGATATCCGTCCGGTCTAATTGGCCTGACACACGCAGGGGTCCTGTGAAGGTAAACGTGTGTGTAATGAGCAGAACGGGGGAGCGGATCGATACAGGATGAGCAGATGAATTAATGATGAATAAACACAGACCCTAATATCAGCACGACACACAAACACGCACGCACACTCACACACACACACACACACACACACAAACGAGAAGAAAAGATTATTTAGCCAGGTGTACTCAAACATCCATTAATAGGGGTTTACACACACACACACGCACACACACACACACGCACACACACACGCACACACACACGCACACACACACAGAGAGAAGAAAAGATTTTCTAGCCAGGTGTACTTCCATTAATAGGGCTTCACACACATGCACACAGTTAAGGTGAATTGTGGGGTCATTCCACAGGTTTTTACTGTTTTTATACTGTACTGCTCTTAAAGGAAGCTGTGTGCATTTTTACTTTCTAAAAATACTCACTTATGTATGATTTATAAGCCTTTAAAAAGTAAGGACATCAACAAAGTCTGCATAATTCACCTTTTCCTGTAATACCTGTTCATACCGATGACATAATACAGGTTTGTGTCCTCATATGTCACATAAACATGTTCATACATACACACAACACACATACTGTATACAGGCCACAGATGTACTTATTAATCAATAGCAGCTGACCATCGTGCTGTGCAAAACGTCTACTAAAAATAATAATAATACTAATACTAATAATAAGGATAATGATAATAATAATAATGATAATGATAATGGCAGCACGGTGGCGCAACAACAAGAAGGCCGTCACTGGGTCACTGGTTCGAGCCTCGGCTAGGTCAGTTGCCATTTCTGTATGGAGTGTGCATGTTCTCCCCGTGTTGCAGTCGTTTTCAAATACATGAGGAAATGATTTAAATGTTTAAACCTCATTCATCTATAGGCTAGATCACCACATGGGCTCTTGACTACTGCGGCAAACCTTATTTCAAGTACCACAATACATAGTTACAGCCATAAATGCCAGTTAAAACTGCAATGTGCCAAAAGGAAGCCCTATATTAACAGTGTCCAAAAGTGTCGACTTTTCTGTAATCGGAGGCGTCTGCGTTGGACCATCAAACAGTGGAAATGTGCTTAATTTGTAAATCGCAAGGTCCTGGAACAGATGGACGAAAGTGAAGAGGTTTGGGGAGTCACAGAAGAAAGGGGAGAGCAGCAAAGGAGGGGGGTTGGTTGGGACAAGTGCAGTGTTGTGGACAAAAGTGAAGAGAGTTGGGGAGTCGTGGAAGAAATTAAAGAAAGGGAGGGGGGAGTGGAGTATCGTGGACCAAAGTGAAGAGGGTTGGAGAGTCTTGGAAGAAAATGATGAGCGGGAAGAAGGGCTGGTTGGGGCAAGTGGAGTGTTGTGGACAAAAGTGTAGAGGGTTGGAGAGTCATGGAAGAAATTGATAAGCGGGAAGGGGGGGTTGATTGGGGCAAGTGGAGTGTTGTGGACAAAAGTGTAGAGGGTTGGAGAGTCATGGAAGAAATTGATAAGCGGGAAGGGGGGGTTGATTGGGGCAAGTGGAGTGTTGTGGACGAAAGTGAAGAGGGTTGGAAAGTTGCAGAAGAAAGTGAAGAGCAGGGCGGGGCAGGGGTGCATGTGAGGAGGGGGATTGATAAAATGAGGTGTCTGATCAGATTTCTGAGATCCTGGATCCAGCTTGTTCCAGCACAAATTAAACCCTGGTCTGCTGTGCTCAGATGAGTCAGTATTTCAGGTATTTTCTGGGAGAAATGAATGCCATGTGCTCCTGAATAGCATCATCCAGACTGTTACCAGCAACAAGCCCAAAAGCCAGGGTGTCATTGTATGGGGTTGTGTCAGTACCCCTGTCTTCTTTTCCAGGGACGCCCATGCATATTTCAACAGGACAATGCTAAACCACATTCCGCAAGTCCTGCTGCGGAGGAAGAGGATACAGATACTGGACTGGCCTGCCTGTGGTCCCAACCTGTCCCTAATAGAGAATGTGTGGCACATTTTGAAGTGCAAAATGCAACAACGAAGACCTCGTAATGTTGCGCAACTTAAGACTTGTTTGCAGGAAGAATGGCACAGAGGTACACCTGGAACGCTTCATCACTTGCTGTCTTCAGTCCCTAAACGTCTTTAAAGTGTGGTGGAAAGGAACGGCAATATATCAAAGTGGTAAATGCTTTATTGATAAAACTGTTTTTAAAATGTCTTGCAAGAACCAAAATAAGAATACTTGTTTATTTTGGAAAAAAAATAATAATAAAAAGATATATATATATATATATATATATATATATATATATATATATATATATATA